TGATCCCAGCGGTGCCCCACCCCCCTATAATGAACATGCCCCACCCGACTTTTTAAAAATCCTGCCCCCCCCGTAAATCAATCAATATGCCACCCCAGGCACGTATACACAGCCACGCTGTGCTGACTGTCATCAACCTTTGACAATATAAAGTGAGGGTGTCGTGCGATAGCTGCCCTTCACAATCGCTAGAATTGTTTTTCATCAATGTTTGAATATATAATGTAAGGAACCAACATTTGATTAAAGTTTTAGACAATGATTTTTACTCGCCAAAATGGGCGAGTCAGCTTTAGCTTTTACTCGCCCGATATTATTTTCACTCAACATTGAACTTTTTCAGTGAAATAGTGGATTGTGTAGTGAATTGTGTGAACCAAGGCAAATAATAGTATAACAAGCACACTGTAGTGTGGTCCCCGGCTCGATGACATGTGGCCGATACGCAACATGCTAAACTGACTGTGATGTAGAACAACATCTAAGTACTACATACTGTTATGATGATAGTGTCAAGATTATACTATAGATACGTGAATAATGCCAGGAGTTAGAGATTGTCTGATTCAGCGATTCATTCAGATATTGTTTAGTTTAGGAAATGGTAGGTTACTGACTCGTGACTGCGTTGACTGTACACAGACAGTACTCAGCAGTCTAGCTCTAGTAACTATAGCCCGCGTGCACTTGCCGCAGGGCTATAGGATCTTCTATTACGGATGCTCGGGACCAACTTAGTAACGGTTACTTGCGGCTATAAAACGTCTGTGATAGGTAATTAATGCCTCTTATCCGAAGTGAATATGTCTTAAGTTATATCCGCAACTAAAATTTAACCTCTAACTATATCGTTGAAATGGTCTGCTTGCGGTATTTCTTGTGAACAAACATTCGATTTGCGAACTTCAAACGGCCCATTTTGGCGGCTCTGCATCAGCGGGTTGGTCCCTAGCATTCGTAATAGAATGACCTATACTATAGCCCTGCGGCAACTGTACGCGGGCTAGTATACTGTATAGTACTGGAGCTATCAGCAGCCCGACTATGCCCTACGACTGTTTCATGTGGTAAGCGTGAGTCACGTAGGAGCAGCCACGCAGTGAGAAGTGAGAAGGTAACTTGTGCAAACCTAGACAGTAATCTGAGTAGACAAGTTTAACAAGTTCATCATCATGTTCATTGTGTCACAATCACAGGCACTTGGAACGTCTCAATAAAAAAAAGGTAAATAAACAGGAAATGTATTTACTACTCGATGTTTCTCTACTCTATTTCGCCTACTATTGCCGATAATTACATGTAAATGCCGGTGAAAGAGGTATAATACTCTCTTATTCAGTTGTTTGTGCACAGGGCGGGCGTGCGGTGTAATTACGTGTTGCAGATGAGCATTTTACCGGCATTTACGGGTAATTATCGGCAATAATAGGCGAAATAGAGTAGAGAAACATTAAGACTTTGGGAGTAAATACATTTCATGTTTATTTACCATAATTTTTTTTTATTGAGACGTTCCAATGACTGAATCATGAATGAGTAACCAGGCAGTAGTCAGTACAGTAGGCCTAATAGTTATTAGTACTAGTACTAGAATAGGAAATCCTGGCATCATCCAACAGCCATGGCATGATTAGACTTAAATAGAATTATATGCGCCATGCACGGCCTATATTACAAATGTATTTAAATAGCTGCTTAAGCCACAATCGCCGTGAAATCGTAGGAAAATAAATTCACACTCACTGGGATCTGAGAGTTAGCCACGTTCGTTAGGGGTGGCGAGTGGCGCCATCTCTTGCGTATTTTTTTTACAAAATAAAAAATAAATTTTACTACTATCAAGAGCTAATTATATTATTAGCTCTTGCTACTATATATAGCATGTTTGAATTGTTTGCAGTTCTAACTATATCGAGTATGTAATTAATGAACGTGAAATTAATTTCTATCGGATAAATGACATTTCCTTATTGTTTCAATGAGAATGACTACACAGATATAATTTCCCCACCTGGAATGCATTTATCCAATATAAATGGACTGTGGTTATATTTTTCTTCCTGATATTACGATCAACAGCATAAAAAACGTTATAGACAACAAAATGTTTTATATGAATAACAAATGATTTACTAGTGTACTGTAAATACACGACTGTACAAAATTAATATATGATTATACATAGATAACATGCTATGTGCCATAATCATGGTTATCGTACTTGTCCATAACCCCCGCGATAGGACTTCTCCGCATGTAATATACATTCTAAGCATGTGCTTCACCTGCACGAAGCAGTTCACACTTACAAATGTAACATAAAATATATATATTGATAAGCAAGGTCGATTCACTGTACCCCCACGTGCACAACCAACCTTAAACACCATATCGCGGACAGACGCCTCTCCCAATTTCACCGACGCAACTCAATGGGAAAAATCGATGTTCAAAGACCAGACTAAAGCCCAGGAATCCGTAGACAATCCAAAAACTTTCTAGAGAAGTATAGTAATCTCTACAGGCGTCACAGTAATTCTAGCATCGCATATATCACTACACGTCCAATCACACCTTCTGCCTAACGGTCAGTTCATAATTTCGCCGTCCACAGACGATTGGATTCGAGTCTCGGCATTTCTGGATCGTAGCCCGAAGGGAACACACGGGAAGGACGTATCACCTCGTGTGGCCGATCAGATCTCCACTGTGCGCGTTTCACCTTCAAAACGTCATTCCTAACGACATTATCCCTGCAGACGACAGGGAATATTCCTTGAGTGTCACCAGGAAGGTCATGCAGAGGTCACCAAGATGATCCCTCCTAGGTTACAGTTGGCACGACAACCTCGCCAGGAGCGAGTCTCAAGCGTGGGAACGTCGTGTGGTCAAGCCGACCGGCTCGTTCTCTGAGCGCGGGGTTCGCAATTCGATGATGGCCGGTTTCACCCGGCAACAGCCTTTACTTGACCGACGGACACAACAGTCGGCGTCCCGACTTCAACGCCGGATTTGGCCAACAGCGTTACCTCTTAATTTGATCGCAGACCCTAAGCGACCACTTGACCACTAATTGACCCCAATATACAAGCACTCGCAGTGGCACGTCCGTCTAATCAGTGCAGAGTTTGGAGCAGCGCCCCCTGGAGGCACTTCATACTGTGCGTGGGATGGTGAGTCGGCTGATGACAGCTCTCAACTGTTTGTCCCTTTATTGGCTTCATCGGTGCTGAGGGTTGTCACTACGGTAACGGGAGCTGATGCTGCTCCAGTCTGCTGATTCATACCCTGCAAATAATTCACATCAATTATTACATATATATATATATATATATATATATATATATATATATATATATATATATATATATATATATATATATATACATATATATAAATGTAGAAAATTAAAATAGGGTGTTAAATTTTAATAAGCAAGCTTTCGAGAATTATCTCTCTTCATCAGGCTATTAAATGACAACCACTGTCAACTATTGACATGACCTCTATTGTTATTTTATAACCTGATAAAGAGAGATAATTCTCAAAAATTTGTTTATTAAAATTTAACACCCTATTCTATTTTTCTGCATATATTTTCATATCTGCATGGCTGCTCGTGTGTTTTTACTTCTATATATACGTAACATTAGTAACATTAGTCTTGACATGAGTGTGTCATACGCGTGTACAGCACAGTGGATGGAGTATGTCCGAGTAATGCATAGAGGGGTCCGGTCTGAGAGAAAAAGATGTTCACACTAATTTTGTTTCTGTCAACGAGCCCCAGAGTTCCAAAATCCAGAGTTGACAACTTTATTATGAGTACCTGTAGAATTGAGCCAGCACCGGGCATGTTGGCGGGTGGGGTGATTATCCTTGCATAGACTGGTCCAGCACGACCTGTGGCAATCAAGAATCATGATAAATGATAGTGTAAATAATATCAGGAGTGTATAACATAGATATACATAACATATACATTACATAACATATACATAGCATATATATACTCCTGATAATATAGTGCATTCATAGCTATGCACAATCTCATATTGCTTGACAGTCTGTGCTAACTTCAGGAATACTACTAATATAACCGATTACAGTAGAATTTATTATGGATGGTGTGTGTAATCGAATACTGTCCAACAAAGTCCAAACTTATATGTAACCACAATCCATGACAGGCCATATAACGTATCTACGAACATTAAATATTGTATCTTCCTGCCCTTTGTTGATAATGTATAATCTAAAGCCATACTCCAACTTACTGAAGTATGGTTTCCTCCTGATTTTAATATGCCCACTCCTTACCTCTGCCTTTCGGAGCAGCTTGCCTCGTGTCAGAAGCTACCTTGACGCCCTGCAATGCTCTAAGACTGGCAGGAGACAGAGCTATGCCACCTCCTACAACAAACACACAAACTGTAGATCACAGACGCGTAAATACAACTGAACACATTGCGGATCTCCACAGAGTGGCTGCACCAGAAACACTAGATATAAACACCCTGCTTGCTCTCCTGTCTGAGCTCACACACTAGAGCTTCATTACCAGTAGAAACACCTCGCTCGAAACTGTGAGTGAGAGCGAAAAGGGAGGGCGCATATCGATTGCTAATCCATTTTACATTACCCCGCAACGAAATATGTCGGCACACACACACGGATCTCACCGGTTTTTCCGCCTGCGAGCACGAACGTCGGGGCGGCCTGCCCGATACCCGCCTGTGTCCCCGAGCCGAGCATGATTGCTTGTTGCCCCGGCAACCCGCCGCCGGACACCACCCTCGTTCCTGCGCTCGTCGTGTTAGCGGGGATGATGAATTGTCCGCCACCTCCTGCTTGGCTTCCTGTAGACAACAACGATGATGCATGGCGTTGACCGGCGCAAAAACGTCATGTTAATCTCGTGTTTTTTTCATGTTTCAAACCTTGCAAACTGTGTTTACAGTGCAGCGATCTTTCGAGCATACGTACTTTCGTTAATAAATCACGTATAAGTATGAATATTATTAACGTTGCTTCGACAAATTGACCAACTATCACAAGATAAATCGAAAAAGTACGTGTAAGGACTTTATGTTAGTGTGCGTATGTGCACGTCCATTTATACGACACAAACACGTATATACACACGTACGCACGTACCCACGCAAGCACACACTCATTCACTCACCGATCACAAGGGTTTGGCCCTGTGCTATCTTCAGGCCAGCAGCCTGGGCAGCAGTCAGCTGAGTAAACTTCACTCCTGGAGGCAACGATGAAACAACCTACAACGCAATAACTCGTCAGTGATCGATGGTAGTTGTACACTAGAGTCGTACACTAGTACAGTAGTGTCTACAGTGGGAAGAAATTTGCTAAGAACTCAGTAGCAACTCCACTATACTCCACGACCAACTCACAGCGACGCACTAACATCATTGCATTTTTCAACCTACCACTTCGATCCAACATGATAATTGAACAGAAGCAAAATGAAACCGTTTGAAAATCAGAGTCACAAAAGATATTTGATGGATGCATAGTTCAGCTGTATCATTGCTTGCAGCAATATTCGATGAGGAGCTGGGTAGGAACAACGGATGCATGCCTACCTTTACAGCGCTGGACACTTGCGTCTGATGCTTGCTTACAGCTGAGTACGTTGCAGCGGGAGCGGACGACGCGGCTAGCACCATCCGGGCGGCCTGTCGCACCGGCGCCGCGAGACCAGGCGTGACGGCACGCGCCTGCACCGCTGGCGCACCCACTGTGAGAGACAAATAAAAGCATGAACATGTAAGATAAATGTAAATGGTATATTGAAATCTGTAAGTTTGTTGTTAAGTAAATAAATATCGCTTCTCCGGTGACTGTTTGTTCTCCTATTACTATGAACTTTGTCATCTACACTAATCTACACTACATCCAACGTGCATGTATGCATGTGTGTGTGTGTGCGCGTGCGCGAGCGTGTGCGTGTGGATGCGAGCTTGCATGTTTTGGCTCAATAGAGGTGTTGCCGCGCTGCGGTGAGGCATGGAGGATGCTGCACATACTCACCAGCCGACGCCTGCTGCACCATGGTGACGTGACCAGGCTTGCCCGGCGAAGGAATCGAGACTGTCCTTCCCTGGAAACGAATCGTGGCTCCGGGAGTAGATGCTCGCACTCCACCTAGCAACCAGACAATTCCACGCTAGCGTGAGAGGTCGGAATTCGATACCCATGCAGTTAGCCAAAGAGTCGGTTTGAAACGGAACTCTACGTAGAATGAAATCTAATCAATCTAATGAATGAAATCTAATCAATCTAATGAATGAAATCTAATCAATCTAATAAAAGAAAACGAAATGAATCTGATCGAATAAAAATGGAATTTGGCAGACGACTCATTCCAGGTGCAATCCTGCTCCCCGAAAACCCTCGCGATTCTCTAACATCGCATCGCGCGAGTTTCCGTGCGCTTACCGTACACTTGTTGCATTGCTGCTCCGCCGCCGCCGCCGCCGCCGCCGACCCCCGGCGACGCCAGCTGCTGGACGAGTCTGGCAACGACGGGCTTCGTGCTGGCGTACGTCGTCGGCTTGCTGCCGCCTGCCTGCGAGCGACTCAGCACCACCTGCTGGCCGCCGACAGTGATGAATTTAGCGGCGCCCCCTGTGGCGTCTGCCTGCGACGCGACGTTCGCTGAAATAAGCGACGATACAATGATCATTGTTTGCTCTCTGTGACGAGAAATTGCACCGAACTGAATAAAAACCTGCATCATTTTTGCGGTATAGATGAGGACATGATTAATTAATTAAGGATAGATGAGGACATGATTAATTAATTAAGGATAGATGAGGACATGATTAATTAATTAAGGATAGATGAGGACATGATTAATTAATTAAGGATA